CTAAGTACAATTCACTGACTGTGTCTGGGTCCAGGAATTCTGCATCTTTCTGCAGCTGAAGTATTAAGCACATAATATCATGGAAAAGAAGACAGAGAGAATGCTATTAGATTTCAGAATACTTGCTTTGGCAAAATCATCTTACCAGCATTGTGTTTGCATTCACAGTCTTTTTGGCTTGAGAAGTTGTAAGTGGGCAAAAACAAGACTCTTTTCTTTGTGTCTGCAGAGATCAAAATCTCTCTAATCAATTTGTCTACAGCTGGAATAGTTAAATGCCCAGGAGCCTACGTCAAGCTCTTTTCATTAAAAAATGATTTTTTTTAGTGTATTTCCGGTATCCAGTGTGATTTGATATCTGTTATATCTATTTATATTTTTGAGATTAAAAATAAATTTATGTGGAGATTATCATCCTCTGAAGGAAATGGTAAGGTTCCTTCCCATTTGCATCCCACCACCCTGATATTCCATTTCTTGCCTGTGTACACTCACTGTAATGGAATATTGTTGATATTATGATGGACACTTTTTTCCAAAAAAAAAAATCGTTGTGCTCACAAAAGAATTTCAAATCAATATTGAAAAAAATCACACATTTGTATGAATTAAATTAGCATGCCATCTCACTTATTCTTACTTTATTTAAATTCAGTGTCTTTGATTTTTCCATTCATTCACTCTTGGGAAATGTCTATTCACAAATAGTTTTTATTAGTGTTTAATGCTTTCAAACATGGATTACCTTGTTTTAAACTGACCTCTACAAAATTCTAACTTCAGATTTCCAAACTGCTGGATGAAAACTTCTACTAAACAGAGGCATCAAACTGTTCTTTTGAGAAGCATTAAAGCAGGCAGCTCTCAAACAGGTTTCCACTTAAGCAGTTATATTTTACATTGAGCATTATAGGTCGGGTGCTTCCCAAAGCCATTTTGGTAAACCAAGAATATTGGAGTATTTTATTTTTTGGGTGTTGAAACCTCCTTCAGAGATCATCTGAGAAGAGCAGTGCAGTGATTGATACACAAGCACATTATACCCCCATAGAAAATTACTGAGGGGTGAAATGGTATCCAGTTATTTTTCCAGCTGATTTTCTAAGCTAGTTAGTGTGTCGCTGTGAGAAGTAGCCCTGAAAACCATGTGTTGTTTAATCTATCTGTGTGAGATGTGCTGATGCGTTGTGTTTCCATTCCCACAGTTATACAAGGGGTGGATATTTCGCTGCTGGGACTGAACAACCAGAGCTTTGCAAGATTAATGGAGCAGCGCCTGGCCCCGCTGTTCATGATGTCCCATCAACAAGGAAGGCGCTTTAGACGCGCCACTACTGTGGGCAGCTACACTGTGCAGGTGGTCAATAGGACAGAAATTGCATCCCATCACATTCTGAAAAAGGCTTTGTTTTGCATATGCAGTGCCTGAATATGTGTGAAAATGTTTAACTGGGCTGAGATTTCTTCTCCCTTTTCATGAATGCCAAAGCAGTGAGTGCAATATGCATGGCATTACTAATGAGTTCTATTCTAAAATCAAACATATTTATATGTGCCTCATCTTTTGACATTAGTTAATCAGTGTTAATAAATATTTTCTCTTGGTTTGCTATGAAGATTGATACAATCAAAGTACTTTAGCGTAAACAGTTTTATACTCAGCATAACTGAGAGTTCTGTTTTTTGTTAAAGATAGAAGAAAAAAATTCTTAACTCTTCCACTGTAGAGGTGATTCTATAAAAGCTAGAACTCTACTTTTTTTTTCCTTTTTGTTGAAATGCCATATGAAGAAGTCTATACAATGTTAATCTTCCTTTTTCGATCACGTGGTCTAACATCACATTCTGAAATAGAGTTCTGAGCCCTGAGTGGTTTATTTAAGTGCCTTTCTCTTTCTTCTATTCAGCATCATCTCAAAGACTTTTGAAAGGATTTTTTTTTATGCTAATTTAGTCAGCTGTTTCTAGCAGTGTAGGTTCAAACTGGGTCTGTTTTCGAAAACTGCATGTCAGGTGACAGCTGTTTTCCTTCATTTTTTCAAGAGTTGTTTATTGTGAGATATAAAAACAAATTATTCTTCTTCTAATATGCCCCTAATAGTGTGCATTCTCAACCTGAAATAATTTTATTTGCTGAAAATATTAATCTTTGTAAGATTTTCCATGAAAACAGGACATATTTTAGTCCGTAGCATCATGGAGAAAAATGACAACCCCCCATTTCCCTCTCATCCTTAGAAGTTTGACACTTCCTCTATCCTCAAAAAAGGTAGAGTTGTACTTCAGAAATTCTGCTGATGCTCTGCAGAACAAAAACAAAAGATCATAGTTCTTTTTGTTAATAAAAATCTAGCATCAGAAATAATGGGTATAGATATAAAATGTGAGGGGGATTTCTCGATTGGAATACACCAATAAAGTGTAAATTTCCACATAAGGACAGATTTCAAAAAATCCTCCCTTTACAGAGGACTGAAATGTCCACACACTTGATCCTTTGTGTACTGCATACTTTTCCTAGGACGGGGCTTTGCACTGCGATTATGTTTAAAGATTTTTATGAAAGCAGTCAATGCTGGAGAGCCTTAATAGACTAGGCTGTAAAGGGGAGAAGCCCCAGTCCTATGAAAATACCTGCATGGAGCTTATGCTTATAGGGGATCTTACAGGGGCTCTGTGTGTGTCCTGCAGTTTTGATCAATGGCAGTGGCATAATACAAAGACTGTTTACTTCTCTTTCTCTCATTTCTTTTTTTTTTTTTCTAAAAGATGGTAAAAATCCAGCGTATTCCTGGACCCAAAGAGCCAGCTGAACTGACATACTATACTCTGTACAACGGGAAGCCTTTGCTGGGTACTGCAGCTGCCAAAATATTGAGTACTGTTGACTCACAGCGAATGGCCTTGACACTAGGTTATGTCATTCAAGTTCAAGCCGATCGTAAGAATCCTTTTAAAATATTTCTGTTTTAGTCTTTTTTTCCACTCTGAAAAAGAAGAAATATAGTTGCGGGAGTCTCTGTTGCTCACACAAGAAGAAAACATACAGAAATTATGACATCAGTTAACTGAGATTCTCAGACTGTAATATTTGAAATGCAGGATGCACAGTTACCTTTATACTTTCTTATGGAAAAATACCAACTTGCTTAATTTGGGGCGCAGTATTTGTATTCTTTCTTTGTGTTCTCCCAGGAATGTATTTTATGTACACTCTGTTTTGCTTGCTATAATTTCTGTTACAGCAGAATGAAAAGTTCAGCACCAAGCACAGATATCTACGCTCAGGAGCTTATAGCTGGGTTAGACAGACAAATAAAAAATATTTATCTTTCTCTTTCGTAGGTGAGGGACTGAGCAAAATGAAAGATGGCTTCAAAATCTGTTCAAGTCCTGTTGCTCTAAATGAGGCATGGGTTTGAGTTATTCAGGGTCACACTGGAAATTGGTGCCTAAGTTAAAATTTTAAACTAGGATTCCTAAGCTTCAGTCATTAGCCATAAGGTCATCCGTTCCTCTCCATTCTCTGGAAATAAAAATAAATTTTCAGCAATTGGTTGCTGTTAACACAGCAGCAGTCTGTAATTAGAATTAACATTGACTGATAAAATTAGTTCCTCTCTCCTTCTCCCAAGAAAATACAGCCCTTTAATTCCCAAACTATGTATTCAAAGTCAATAATTTAAAATTATACAAGTTCATTAAAAAGTGAAGCTTGAGCAGTTACTTAAACCTAGACATTGGCTTGGCTTTTTGGAGTTTTACAAAGCATACAGTTACTGTAACACTGTGTGCCAAGTTTGTACCTAGTGGTACCTTTCCTAAATAAACCAACAAATTGCACTGGCTTTGCAAAAAGTTGCGGATATACAAAGAAAGCTTTAAAGAAACTCAAGCTTTAAACAGATTTCCCACTAGCTTTCCTACCTGCAGCTGAACAAGATGATATTTATTTGAAGTCTGACTCTAAAAGATGCTAAGTGCCTTTGACAGTTAATAAGCTCAATGACATTTGGAAGCAGTAGTCCCCTAGGTAATGATGGAAATGCAATCGCCTCTCCATGCCAGTGACCAGTAGCATATGAAAATAAAGAAAGCATGAACAGATTTCCCACTAGCTTTCCTACCTGCAGCTGAACAAGATGATATTTATTTGAAGTCTGACTCTAAAAGATGCTAAGTGCCTTTGACAGTTAATAAGCTCAATGACATTTGGAAGCAGTAGTCCCCTAGGTAATGATGGAAATGCAATCGCCTCTCCATGCCAGTGACCAGTAGCATATGAAAATAAAGAAAGAAAGCATGGTGAACTCAACAAACTTATTTCATTTAAACAAAATTCAGACTCAAAATTTTATTATCTGTTGGTTTTTTTTGGAAGAAATGAAGAGAGAGAGCTATATTTTTGTTATGGAAAGTTCTTAGGTGTGTACAAGATGCACATTAAGAGACTTAATTCTGATAAAATAGAATTCAAAATGTTTTTGCACCATCTCATTTCTGAAAAGTACCTTTTTTTCCTCATGTAATTATTAATATATCTGCAAATTGCTCTTTCCAGTTTTGTAGTTTTCCCTGAAATGATAGAATTTTGACCTTAGATGCAACAGAATATTCCTAGAGGACGAGAGGAGCGTTTTCCTGTCCTCTCACTGATGCCAATAGCAGCTGCTGGTGTGTTTGGCTTCATTGTCTTTTAAAGAGTTGAGCTGATTGACCCTAGCTAAGCTAGTAATTCTGTGACACCAGCTATGGGCTCTGTACTTTTAACTCATGTGCTACCTTACTGTGGGCTTTTTTTACTTTTGAAAAGTAAGGACATGTTACTTGCACCTTTTTTTTTTGTTTTGTTTTCTCTGTAAAGAGCCATTTAAGTGGTATCTAATGTCTAGGTTTGGAAGATTATAGCTGCTTTTGCAGCTGACTATAACTAATTGAGAAAAGAGAGCTCAAGGATATGTGAATTGAGCAATGCAAGCTGGTCTTTTTACTTAAGAAATCCAAAGATACTGCTAAGTTAACAGCAATATTTTTATACTAATTGTTAGATGGTGGCAATTGAAGACTGTGTTGGAAGCAATTGGAATGCCTCCTGCTTACTCAGTTAGAGAGAGAAATGCTAATGTTGTTCTGCAATTTTCTGTAGCTGTTGTGAAAAACCCACCCAACAACCTGTGGATCATTGCTGCAGTGCTTGCTCCCATTGCTGTGGTTACAGTTATCATCATTATCATTACGGCAGTTCTGTGCCGAAAAAACAAGAATGACTTCAAACCTGATACCATGATGAACCTGCCTCAGAGAGCTAAGGTGAGTGACTAGTCTGCTGATCAAGGCACTCCTTTTTTCTGAAGCTTTAACTCCACAGATTCTTTGCTAAATATATTTGAAGAGAGAACATCTGGATTTCAGATTGTCATTGCTCACAGGTTGTATCTTATACTTCTGTACTCTGTACTTCTCTGTGCTGCCTCAGTACTGAGTCTTCTTTTTTACTCAGGCTCTTCAAATTCCTTCAGAACTTGTTACTTACTGCGCAGAACAGTTGTTAAGCAGTGGTGTAAGGTGCTTAGCCACTAAAGCTGAGTGTGCTTCTCCTGAGCTCCATGCGACAAGTGGAGTTCTAGTCTTAATACCCATCTGGGTGGTAATTCAGGAAAGCCATGCATTTTTCATTTTTTCTTCCACCACTATTTCTCCTTTCGATGTTTTGAATTTTCTGACTCACTAGGGAATAGTGAGCGGATCCTCCCGCTCTGTTCAGCGCTGCTTAGGCCACCTCTGGAGAGCTGTGTCCAGTGCTGGGCTCCCCAGCAGCAGAGGCAGGGAGCTACAGAGGGAGGGCAGCCTGGGGCTGCTGGGCAAACCGAAGGGAGAAGGGTTTGCCTGCGAAAGAGATGTGTAAATCTACTGATCCGTCCTCCTTCTGGTTGTCTTTACTCTTTTCTGTTGTCATGGGATTCGAATGGTAAAATTTTTCTTTGGCTTCTTATTGCTATAGACAGCAGGATTTTTGTGATTTCAGCTCTGCTTGAACCAAAAAATGAGGCTGGGGGGGAGAGTTGAGAGAAGTCAAAATTCATATGACAGCTCTTTCCCCCTCATCTTAAGTTAGTAGCAGATGGGTGGGTGTAGCTAGTGGCAGTTGAAAGCATACATTTGTATCAACTGATCAAAAATAATACAGAAAAGATGGTTCCATGTCAGCTCTAGTATGTGGATCCATTTTCCCTGTGTAATTAAAACAGTATTAAAACTCAATTGGAAAAAGCAAAACAGGCAATATCACAAACAAAAATTAATACCACTGCAGTGATACCATACACTGTCTCTCTGAAGCCTCTAAAATGTGAATCATCCTGTAGTAGGAACCGTCACAAATACCATGCACCACTTAATTCTTCATGTATGCCATCTTAGTCCTGGCTAAAGGACAAAGTGGGACTAATCTTTTACATTACTTTGAGCTGTCAAGCATTACTAACTGCTTTTTACCTGAAAAAAACAATGCAATTTAAGGCTACTGGCTGAAGACATCGCAGCCAGTAGGGTTCTTTCTACAGCAGGGCAGAGTTCTGTTCATTCATTCAAAAAAAAAAACAGAGAAAGTCAAATTTTGACTTTTCCTTAGAAATCAGATTTAATGAGTCTATAGTAATAATCTGTCTATAATGTATGTGGTCAGACTGAAACCTGTTCAGTCAGACTATATTTGTGTGAGCAAATAGTGTAGTCAAGTAGAAGCTGGATGTGTCAAATAGAAGCAACTGGGGTGAGTTCCTACCCTCCATACCCCAGTATATCCAGTACCCACCATACTCATTTCGAGATATCTTACTGCAGACTGGCTCCGCTCTGCTTTCAGGGGCCATTGCCCTGTAGCACTGTAATGCTGCAGGGGCACTTCAGAAGCGCATTTTCCATTTTAACTTCATCTGGAAGGAAAGCCATGAGCTCTGAGGTCACTCTACTGGGTGACCCAAAGCACAGGCAGTGGAGTTAATCTGGAGATTCGTTTCAAAAATGCACTCCTGATCCAGACTGAAATGCTAAAATAGATGCACCTTCAGATCTTTTTGATATATTTTTAGAATTCATAAAATCTAATTTAATTTTTTATGTAGAATGTAATGCATTTCCAAATGAAAGCAAATTTGATTATGGTTTAGTTTCACAGGGATGGTTCCAGCAAAAGGTTCAATCAACTCTATTTTAAGGTATATACTTATTTGTGGACTGTGGAAAATAAATTCTGCAGCAGGATGGGAATGGACTGGTTTAGTCATTCCTGATTTTAGGTTCTTGCCTTAAAATAATGATAAGAAATGTATTTTGGGAAGGTAATGAAATAAAGTCATCTTGAACTGTTTTGTTTTTAGTTCCAAAATGAGTGGCATTAGGAAGAGCAATAGCACTTGAGCTGTGGTTGCAACATTTCATGCAATTTGTCAGTACAAATAGCTGATGAGGACATACCTTCAACACATTTAAAATGAACATATTGTATTTCATGGCTTAGAAAAGTGCCTGAGACCGATTAATGCTGAATCTCTCTGTAAATGGAGTTGCAGCAGAGTGATTTTTAGTTTAGTAACAGAACTTGTTGTTGAGTTATCGGAGTAGTTCCCTGCCTCCCTTTGAATGCCTCCCGGGGGGTATACACAGGGAAGGAGACGCCGGGGAGACCTTCCCCGCCGGTGGCCGTGAGGTGGCCGTGAGCCGCTTGTGTTGCCCATGGAGAGCGGAGTGGAGCTGCCTGCGTGCGCAGCCCCGGTGCTGCCGCCCTCCTCTGCAGCCGGCAGCGGCGCCGCCACCTCCAAGGGCATGGGCTGCCTTGCTGGCTTTTTCAGCTGGCGCTCTGTTTCTGAAAGCAGTGACGTGCCGGTGGGAGTTTGCTTTAATATTCTCTCAACAGTGTTTTTGCTGTGAGATACTGCTTTCCTTGGTGGCAGTGGGTAGATGGTTCCTAATTCACAGCGTGCTTTTTTAAAGGTTTTACGCTCTGGTCACCTTCCCTTTCTTCTAGCACAAGAGCAAATAAGCTTGCAGGTAAACAGCAGTGTGAGCTGCAGTCTGAGTCCCTTAAGCAAAAGCAAATACTGCGTGCGGTGAGAAAAATACACTATCAATTTGATGAAAGACATGAGAGGAAAAAAAGAGCAGAGAAACTGTGTGTATATGGATAAATATAGAGAAAGGGACTGATCAGCTTTTTTTTCTTTCTTTTTTTTTGAGATATTGGTGTCTTTTCCATAGTGCCAGGAAGCACTGCCTGTATTCATTCTGCCCTTTTCCTGGCAGTGTGCAGTAGGGGTCAGTCAGAATTTGGGAAGCAGCGTTAAACCCGCAGCGCTGGCTGCTCGGGCGCTGCGGCCTCGCGGCCCCTGCCGCCGCGGTGCCTGCTCACGCCTTGGCCTTGCCAGCTGCCCTTAGGGGGTAAAGCCACCAGATGGTCCTGAGCAGAGCTCCGAGATCAAAGTTTATTTAACACAGTGTGCCTGCTGGCGAGATGGCTTTTGCAGCTCTTCCTTTAATGCAGTTGATTCCTAGACGTGGTGGTAAGTAAAAACTTAGATTAAAAAAATGCGTCGTTTTGCTTTTTGGCATGTGAGAGCTGCAACTCAGCAGAGTTTGTCGTGTTCTCATGCTTGTGGAATTTTGCTTCTGTTTTCTTTTATTCTTTTAAATAAGATGGGAAGTATATGTTGCACTTGGTTTTCCGTTTTTGAAAGGACTGAGGAATACCTGCCTTAAATCTGCTTTTCTCTTCTGTCTCCTTCAGTAATGGCTCAATGGCTCACCTTGAGGTGGCTTGACTAGTGTTTGATATAGTTAATGATGTTTAAGAACGTGATTCCATTAGAAATCTTAGCGTCGAGGGTAGCAGGCAGGAGAGCTCTTCCTCGCTGCTGTGGGGAGATGGCAGCGGGGTTTGCCGGGGCTGCGGGTGCCGCACGGGCATTTCTGTGATGGGGAAAACTCCCATCCTTGCGGTCCTTGTAGTGCCTGGCGACGTCTGCTCCTCCAGAGCAGCTCTGTCCAGTCCGCAGCTCCTCAGTGCATCGGAGCAGCTTAGCCGGGGAGAGCTGAGGAGCTTCAGCACAGGAGAAGCCATCAGGCTTGGTCTGAGCAGGAGCCTGGGAATGTGATGGAGGGAATCTGTAGAGTGCACTTTAAAAGAAAATAAAAGATCCACATTTTTCAGACTGAGATTGCATATGAAATGTAACTATATTTATAGCTATAGATCAGATTTATTTAGTAAAGGACAGAACAGGAGGAAGTGTGTTTTTTTTTTTTTTTTTAAAACCCCCCTTTTTTTTTTTTTTTTTTTTTTTTTTCTCCTGTGGATAGAGCAAAATTTTGATCTGGCTATTTATTTTATAGAGCTAAAATACTGAATAACATGACAGGAATCTGAAAGACAGTATTCGGTTTTTAGGGGTCTAATTTGGATGTGTTTCCTGAAATGTGTTTCTGGCACCATTGCTCACCTTCTACTGTGTTTTTTTAGCATTCTTTCAACAGCCTGCACTTCAGGAAGGACACCCTTCTCTGCTTTGGTAAATTAATGGGTTTTAGTGAAGCAAAAACTCCTGCAGTTTTATGTTACATGTTTTTTCTAGAGGTGGCCAGGATTTATTTATTTATTTGGACCGAAAATGCAGTTTGGAAAGTCAAGCTTTGCTTAAATGATGGAATTATTCCGTAAGGAGGCTCCATCGCTGGGGGGCTGCGGTGCCTGGAAAGCACCGGGTGGGAGAGCTGGGCTGTGGGGCAGGCGATGCCCGGGGCTCTGCCTAACGCCCCTTCCCGAGGGAAGTGTGGGAAATGGAGGGGAACCTTCCCAGAGGGGAGATGACTAAGCAGAGTTAGGTCATTTCACTCCTCTGAAAGTGACCCTTTTCTGCAGAATTCTTCCCATGCAACTTCTGTTCTTGCCTGTTTTACTTTGTCTTGATTTGGAATAAATCAGCACTGCCCTTTTTGGAAGCAAATGATTTTTTCATGGTTTCTGTATGGTTGTATCTTTCTCCTCATTAACTTTTCTTTATGTGAAATATTGAATTGTCTGTGAAAGGAATTTCTGAGTGTTTTAAGGCAAGGAAGAAAGGTTAGTCAAGATCAATTTTATACTAATTAATCAAGTTTAAAATATGTAGAATGGAGATTTCATCAGAGCATTGCTTTGTTGCTGACTATTCTTATTACAGTCTACAGTGTTTTGGCTGTGGCTTATGTAAGTAAAAAGTTAAGAGGGAATAATGGAAATTCTATACTACTGTGAGATGCATGTTGGATTTTGTTTCTCACTTTTTATTTTGCAGCCAGTGCAAGGCTTTGACTATGCCAAGCAACATTTAGGTCAGCAGGGAGCTGAAGATGAGGTTTTACCTGTAACTCAAGAAACTGTCGTACTTCCACTTCCAGTTAGAGATGCTCCTGCCTCCCAGGAGAGAGAAATCACTCAAGATGGGAGCACCATTAAAACTGCCCAGTCCAACGAAACAAGGAAAAGGTATGGAGAGAGGCATCTCAGCAGAGGGATGGGATGGGGCGCGTGCTTCTGGTTCCTACAAAGAAAAGTACAGGGTTTGGCACCCAGACTGTGTATGTGGCAGATGGCTTCTCCTCAGATATTCTTGGCATAATGTTGATCTGCACTGGATGTGTAAGATTGCTGAAAAATATAGAATAAAATGGAGGAAGGCTTTGGAGTTCATATGTATAAAGGAGAGAGATGGGAAGGGGCTCTCGTATGCACATGGCCTTTGTACAAGCAATGACTCTGAACTAAACACTGGGTGTCAAGCATGAGCATAGACCATTTCTCAGATGAACCGAAAGACAGGAGTTCAGCCCGTGTAACCGACATAGCTGCAGTGACAGCATGGCTCACTCAAGGATCCGTCATGTCCTCAGAGCAGGAAGGAGAAGTATGACAGTCCATATACACTAAACTTCTTGTCCCCATCAGAGTCTTTCAGTGGAAGATTACCGTTAACACCAGCTGAAGGTGCTGGTGCTGTGCTACTACATGGTAAGTCTTTGAGGGAGCTAGCCTTTAAAATGGATGTGCACAAAAATGTACATCAGCCTGTTGATTCTCTAATAAAAGTGAGTAAGCACTTCATCCAGGTTATGCCCTGAATGAGGGCATGAATTCCCCTGTACTTAACCTGAACATTCAAAAACAAGTTTTGATTAACAAACTTTATTCAGGAAAGGAATCAACAGGAAAGTTTATAATGAGAATAAATGTGTTGAACCTGTGGCACTTTTGTGGCACCTTCTAAGCAAAAGGTATCTAAACAGGTCCTTTCTATGGCAATGGTTGTGCCTTCTGCAGGGTGACTGCTTGAGCAAGTGTGAATAAGCAGAATTTTGTTCTTTTGGCATTCCCACGAGGTGTGGCCAGGAGATGGAAAGCGATGGTTTCAGAAGATGACAAAACATTTCATGACCTTTTTGTATTTGCTATTTCATCCAGGCTATTTTGCAGCCTCAAAAGGTCAATTTAAATCATACTGCCATGAAGCAGCTGGTATCTGATCAGATATCTCCTCTGATATTATCCCTGAAGGAAACTTCACAGTTAATAGATGCGGTGGTCACTTTAAAAAGATGAGTATTTAGACTAGAGGCTACAGAAGTCATTCTGTGAACTGTCTATACTTGTTTGTTTTCCCTGTTCTCAAGCAAGTTAATATTAAAGAGAATTTGACAGGAAATCACCAAGCTGAACAAAGGCTGGTTGCATATGGAGTTCTTCTAAGGGCCTATAGTTTAAAAGAGCTTGTGTCAAATCACTTATATGTATGTATGTATTTACTTACATACACACAGGCTGTCTTCAAAAGAGGGTCTTTGAGAAGTGCTCTCCCTCGGCTCTCCCTGCCTGTTCTGACCTCAGTAAATGCCCAGAGAAGACCGCATGTGTTTTTCTCAGATGCAGCCTCCTTGTGTTGTCCTTTATTTGACCATGACAGTTCAGAATAATTGATTTCAGATAGATGCATGCATAAGTATATGGATTCTTTAGATTTTTTTCCAGTTCTGTTGTGGCCAGTGTCCTTTCTAGGAGCAATGTGGTGTACCACACCATGAGGTGCAGTGGCACCAAATTTAACCTGTTTCTGCTTTGGCCTGCTCTTCCCAGCTGGTGCAGTAGGATAGAATAAGCTACTGCAGAGGAAGGAACAGGGGCTCCCGGAGCAGCCTCCGCTTGCCCTTCCCGCCTTCGTGGCACTGGAGCCCTCGCAGCGTTTCTGTTCCGACCTCCCTCCTCTGTGGCACAGATCCATTTCTGTGCCACAAACTGGAGAGTCAGTGGCCAAGGAAAACAGGACCTTTCAGTAAGTCCTTTCAGGTGTTATATGCAGAGGAAAAAGGAAAATTTTCTTATCACAGTGACTGTGTGTATATATAAAGTAGGTAAATTTTGCATTGTGACTGACAAAGTAGTTGAGTGCAAATGCAAGCTAGATAATTGAAGAAAACGCTAGGAAAATAGTATAGCCGTCTTTATAAACTGTGTGCTTTATTTTATCTGTATAAACGATGCTGAACTAATATTATTTTGCCCTTTGCAATGCTTCTGCTATTGTGGGTATTGTGTAAGAGCAGCAAATGACGCCCATCAGCCCTGAACCAGTTGGAAAGTACTATTTGCATCCTGGCGCTCTGCTCCTGCTTTTACTCTCTTTCCATTATGCAGTTTATTTTCTCTCTCCTTTTGGTACAGAATCAGACTTGAAAACTCAGTGATGCAAACGGTACAAATGAAATAACCTTGAAATGAGGTTTTTGCAGAAGAACTTACAGTCTCCTTGTTGCCATGGTTACTTGCAGCCGGTCGCCGAGCCAGGACGGCTCCGTGGACACCAGCGCGTCAGGAAAGCCCAGCTCCGGCCGCAGCTCCCCGCAGAAAGTAGCGGCCCAGCAAAAAGCCACCAAAGACGAAGGCAGGAAAAGAAATGGTGAGAAGCTTTTCCTCATGGGAGCTGCTGGCAGCGGCTCCTGTAGCAGTACCCACACGGGCACCTGCTGTGTTGAAACCATCTTCCCAGGCCTTTAACAGTCTTTCAGGCATTTCTTGTTCACAGCTTTTTTTTTGTTTGTTTATTTCTCTATTGCTATAACAATTCATCAAACTCACAGTGTGATGCTTACTCTTTGTGTGTGGGCCTTTGCAAGTTTTCCCATTTTTTTCCTTTTTTTTAAAATTATATTTTTAGCAGTAATGAAGACATGCTGCTTAGTAGGCAGAGTGGGTTTACATTTTTTTTCTGTTACAGCCGTAGGATGTTCATTTCCATTACTGCTGTTGCTAAGCTGGCCCAGATCTGATGAAGATGAATTAATTAGGTAAAAACTGATTTGAAAAGGTGTGAGATTTCTAGAGATTTGACTTTTTTATCCTCCTTTTCATGCATTTTATTACTAACACTTTTAGTGAGAGCTTTTCCTACTGCACAGAGGATGTTGCTTACAAATCCTTTGTTGATGATCACCTTCTGACTTGGGATTTATCAAGAACGTCTGATAAGAGAGTGATTCTCTTCCCCTTCTTCCTTGCTTTTCTGTTTTCTTTCCCTCTGCTTCTCTCAATTCCTCCTGAATTAGAGCTTTGCTTCAAAGGCCAGATTTTGCTCATGAATAGGAAATACTGGTTGAACCAGAGATTATTTCTGTTTGAAGGCAATTAAGCTGTGTGTGGCCTCATCAAATTCTATCATGAACTTTAGTTCTCTTAGTCTTTAACTATTCTGTCCTAAAAATATTGTAGTTTGGAAGGAAAGATTCAGATAAACAGAGAATCTTAGTAGAGTTTTCTTCTCCTTTTTGTACCCTGAAATGATTCTTTGGAGCTATGTGTACCTAAGAGCATATAAAGTTGAAATTAAAAGATGAAAGTAAAATTACACATAAATTTTATCACTGAGCTTATGTCTTGTCCCAGTGCTATGGTTTCAAACAAGACATTGTCATCCCTGGTATTCTGGGCTTTTTGCAGGGCTTTGTCTTTATCCGGGTGGTTAACATCAGTTGCCTGTTTTGGCCATTTGTCCTTCCAGTTTAAGAAAGATGCTGTTTTTCTCTTAGCTGCTCATCTAAATCTGCTCTAGCCCTCCAGCATGATTGTGGGCTGACATCTCAAATACGTGTGTCAGCAAAAGAAATAGCAAATTTTCTTCTCTGAAAAGCAGCATCTTAAAACTGGAATGAGTCCCTTGCTGGTCACGTGCTCGATTTGGGGACTCCAAGTTCGAACGGCTCATTAGTTGCCATAGTTACCAACCAATTTTAGATTCTGCTCCGCGCTGACATTTAGTTCCACAGAAAAATGATAGCACTGGATGTTAACTCCATAGATAAACTCTGTGTGGCTTTTAGCAAAATGGACTCCGCACGGAGTGTGTCAGCCCTGAAAGCGAACAGCGCGAAACCTCGCAGACTGACACACTTGGCTGAAGACCTTATGGTCTGCCGGATCAGGAAGGTTCTTTAGCTGAGCCTGATTTCTGAAGGAAACAAAGCTAAAATCCCTTTGTATTACAATATTGGTAGTCTGGAAGGTAATTGCATTTTTTTCCTTTTGTTTTTCTTTGCAAAGCATCTGTTGAAGCTTTAGTAGGAAGTTGCCTTTTCAAAGTTGAGTAGTTGTGCTTGTATTTATTTTGGACGCTTACGAAAACAATTAACTTCTGTCTGTAATACAACTAGGTTGTGATGCAGAAGAGTGGCCCGCCAGTTTTTAAACCGATGGGGCAGTTCAGCAACAGAGTGAGCTTTTTACAATTTCTGAAGGGTCTGTAGTGACTCAGTGCTCCAAATGAAAATGCAACTTGGCAACAGTTACTGAATCCAGGAGCAGCACTGTAGCAACCTGCTTTTACAGAGCATTACCTTGAGAATCTGCCGTATTCTAGAAAACATCTAGGGTTCTTCATTTGCCTTTTCTATCTTAGTTAGGGTAAACTACAGGTTAGATTAGAATGAGTTTCATCTTGCCAGATTTTGGTCTCTTGAAGTTGGATGTTTAATCTTAATCTAACCAGGTGGGCTCTCTAGTTACTCCAGAGGGAGATAGCTGAGGGGGATAAATGTATCAGAGGTACTCACCGTCCTGTTTTCAGTATGGAAAGAGCCTGGATAGCTACATCAGAGCCCATGAGTTTTAAGATGATGCCGTTTTGTTATGTCTGTGTCTCCAAAAGGCTGGCAAATGAAAGAAGGGTTTATGGTAGGGAGTAGTCTGTTCTTACCATTCTTCATTCCCTCATCATGAAGTATCGTTGCTTAACTTGCCTTAGAAAGGGTGTTAGCGTGTTTCGGGATCATCTTTTTACTCTTTATCCTCTCTTCTTAATCTCCTAGGCTTTTCCAGGGGCCTTTCCTGACATTCAACCATACAAAAAAGAAATTCTGAAATTCCTCTTCCCTTTGGGCCTCCTGGACGATTTTATATTTTGATTCTCTTCTACCCATAGATTTTCAGCTTGTGTGACACCAGCTAACATTTCACCCCAACCTTTTCTGTTCCTTCCCCTGGCTTTGTGGGATATCAAGTGCTGTGACCCTGCTAGCATCCTGCTCATGACAGATATAACCAGTGCCATTTTCCACTGCTTTCTGCACCTGCTTTTAGTTTGCAATAGGCAACCAGGTGTTGTAATCTGTTCTGTGAGCTTCTGTGAACACTTCTTCACACTCTTATGAAAGCAAGCACTGCACCCGCCTCTCCCAGGAGAGAGAATGAGAGAGCCAACAACATGTCTGAGTTGTCCACACTGAGTGACTTGGGCCACATTCAGTTGCTACATTCACAAGCACAGTAGAACAACTTGAATAGCATAAGAGCAGTTTCTTTGATGTTTTAAAATTCCTTGTTCTTTTCTGCAGGTAAGTATTTCAATCTTTCTTTTCTCCTTTCCAACATACTATAATTTACAGAGAGATGAGGAGAGTGAAAAGATGAGAGAAATCCTGTGTAACCTTCATTTTGGGATCTTAGCCTGACAAAAGGGTAGTTTGGGTTTTTTTTTTTTTTTTTTTTTTTTTTTGTATGCACAAAACACATAACAGCGTAACAGGTAAGCACATAACAGCAAAGTATTCCACATGACCGGTTTTTACTACATGTTCAGAAGTACAGGTTCACCTGGGAAACTACAGGCCAGTCAGCCTCACCTCCATACCTGGAAAAGCGATAGCGCAGCTCATCCTAGAGACCATCTCTAGGTATGTCAAGGAAAAGAAGGTGATCAGGAGTAGTCAGCATGGAATCACCAAGGGAAAGTCGTGTCTGACGAACCTGATAGCCTTCTATGATGAGGTGACTGGCTGGATGGACGATGGGAGAGCTGTGGATGTTGTCTACCTTGACTTTAGCAAGGCTTCCAGCACCGTCTCCCATAACATTCTCAGAGGAAAGCTCAGGAAGTGTGAACTGGATGAGTGGACAGGGAGGTGGATTGAGGACTGGCTGGATGGCAGATCCCAGAGGCTGGTGATAAATGGGGCCGAGTCCGGTTGGAGGCCTGTGGCCAGTGGTGCCCCGCAGGGGTCAGTACTGGGCCTGGTGCTGTTCAACTTGTTCATCAGTGACTTGGCGAGGGCCCAGAGGGCACCCTCGGCAAGTTTGCAGGTGACACCAAACTGGGAGGAGTGGCTGACACTCCCAAGGGCTGCGCTGCCATTCGGAGAGACCTGGACAGGATGGAGAGTTGGGCAGAGAGGAACCTCATGAGGTTCAACAAGGGCAAGTGCAGGGTCCTGCACCTGGGGAGGAGTAACCCCAGGCACCAGGACAGCTTAGGGCTTGACCTGCTGGAAAGCAGCTCTGCGGAGAGGGATTTGGGAGTCCTGGTTGACAACAGGTTACCCATGAGTCAGCAATGTGCCCGCATGGCCAAGAAGGCCAATGGGCTCCTGTCCTCCATCAGGAGGAGTGTTGCCAGCAGGTGGAGGTAGGTGATCCTGATCCTCCCCTTCTACTCAGCTCTGGTAGATTTGATCAACATGTCCAAGTACCTGAGGGATGATTGTAGGGAGGATGGGACCAGGCTCTTCTCCATGGTGGCCGGTGACAGGACGAGGGGTAACGAGTGTAAGTTGAAACACGGGAAGTTCCATCTCCTTGTGAGGAACTTCTTTCCTGTGAGGGTGACAGAGCCCTGGCACAGGCTGCCCAGAGAGGCTGTGGAGACTCCTTCTCTGGAGATCTTCAAAACCTGCCGGGATGCCACCCTGTGCCACATGCTCTGGGTGTCCCTGCTGGATCAGGGGGGTTGGACTTAGATAATCTCTAGAGGTCCCTTCCAACCTTAACCATTCTGTGATTCTGTGATTCTTAGCATGGTTTTGGTCGGCTGGAGAGCTCGTGACCTGAGTACTTAGCACCACCTGCTGGCATCATGTTACAAAAGTCGTGT